ATATTGTTGCTACGTGCAGAGCCAAAGACAGTCTAAATACAGCTCAGTGTCACATGAGGAAATTAGAGCTACAAGTGCAGAGCCTGCATGTGGGATGAATATGTCTCTTGTTTGGAAGCCCAAAGGGAGAAGATTACTCCACAGCCATCCTGAAGCAGAAACACAGACCTAACAGACTCGTTGTGGACGAAGCTCTCAATGAAGACAGCAGCATTGTCAGCCTGTCACAGGTCTCTGTGTGTGTGTGTGTTGTGGTGGTGGTGGTGGTGTTGGTGAATATATATCCTGGTCACGTGTGTTTCTTCTGAAATTTGTGTGTGTGTGTGTGTGTGTGTTTTTCGACCAGAATAAGACAGAGGAGCTGCAGCTCTTCCGGGGGGACACAGTGGTGTTGAGAGGGAGGAAGCGTCGCCAAACGGTGTGTATCGTCCTGACTGATGACACCTGTGGGGATGAACGAATCCGCATGAATCGTGTGACGCGCAACAACCTGCGTGTCCGGCTTGGTGATGTCATCAGGTAGAGCTCACACCTGTGTCCAGTAGTGGAAGAAGCAAATACCACACTATGAAAATAAAAGTCCTGCATTAAAAACCTTACTCAAGTGAAAGTATGGAATTATTCTAAACAAAATCTGCATAAAGTAAAAGTACTCTACACAAAAATGGTCCCTGTCAGTGTTTTACTATTAAATATGATGTTTCAGGATTAATATTACTGCTGCATTAATGTGTATGTGGTATTTTACTGCTGTAGATCTTTAAGATTGCGCTCATGTTTACTACTTTGTACACTGTTCATCATATTCAAGATCATCATATGTGTGTAGCATCACTATTCTGTGAGAACCGCGTATCTCTAAAAAAGTTGATTTTTCATGAGCTCAGAAACACAGCCCAGTTTTCAGCTTTGTGACAAAATATTTTCCAGCTAATCCATTAGGGTTCTTAAATATATTTTTGGGTTTAAGAAGTAGGATCATTTTCTCAACCCATAAAGGAACACTTCAAAATCAACACATTTTGATATACATGGTTTTCACTGTATGGGTGATTGTAATCTAAAATGTAACTAGTAGCTAAAACTGTCAAATGTAGTGTAAAAAGTACAATATCTGCATGAGATGTACAGTAGAAGTATAATGAATAATCCATAAAATGGAAATTTTCAAGTAATTTACAAGCACCGCAAACTTAGTTACATTTCACTACTGCTTGTGTCTTGGTGCTACATGTGAGGTCTGAGATCATTACATGAAATGATCTGATGATTTTTGCTGGTGTGTGTGTTTCATCACAGTATTCATGCCTGCCCTGATATAAAGTATGGGAAAAAGATCCATGTTCTCCCTATAGATGAAACCATTGAGGGCCTGACCGGAAACCTCTTTGAGGTTTTCCTCAAACCATATTTTCTGGAGGCTTACCGGCCCATACATAAAGGTACAGCAACACCTCTGCCACTGATCATACCCCAGTAAAAGAGCTTTGTTCATAATATGATCTCTCCTAAGCTGTTACTACCAGGTATGACAACCTATTCTTGTTCATGTCAGCTCACATAGCAAACATTACATCTG